GCAAATTCACTTTCCATACAGCAGTTCACATATACTTTGCACATTTGGTACACTGTCCTTCTCTTCACCCAAATCAATACCTATCTAACAGTGATCCCTACCCTCCTCTCCCACCCCTGGTAACCAACAAAGGAAATTTCCTTCCATATATAAACCTTTCCTTGACTTTTACAATAATAGACTAATACAGTATTTGTCCTTCTGTGATTGACTTGTTTCACTCAGCATAATGTCCTCCAAGTTCATCCACGTGATGCAGTATTTTGCAGATTCTACGTTATTCTTTAGGGTTGCATAGTATTTCAATGTGTGTTATGTACCACAGTTTGGTTATCCAATCCTCAGTTCAAATCACAATAAAAATTTAAAAAAAAAAAAAGTACACCATCTTTACTTAAGATCCTAAATTGTGACAAATAATAAGAAAAGCAGAAAGCCCAAAGAGTTAAAAATAGATTTTTAAGGAAAGGAAGATGTGCCAGCTATCTACCTATTGTCTCTCAAACCCAAGTCTGCTTTTTAATAGTGTTCTATGATGGCTGGCTAGGGGTTTGGACATACTTCCCAGACTCTTCTTCTAGTTGGCTCTGTTCATGTTTTGACAACAGTAGGCACTGGTGGGAGACTGGAAGGTGGGAAGAAAGGGACTCTCTTTTTCCAGCTCCTGATTTTCAGAGCTCCTGACATCAACCCCGGAATACTTCTTGTCATCTAATTGCTAACTCTATCACAGAGTCCTTGACTCCCCTAGAGGTCACAGCACCAGCTATGTGGGGCCAACCCCTCACCCTCAGGTTTAAAAACCAAGCACTTCCTGGTACCCCTGCACCAGGCTCTATTAATACTGCCTCTCCCCTTTTGTTCCCTTATTCCAAAGGGTACTTAGCTCCTTCCTATAGTTACTAATCTCTGAGTTACTTCAGCACTTGCTGTTTGCTCTTCCAACCTTCCAACACACATTTGTAACCAAGACCCTGTATTAAATCCCTTCAGATAGCTAGCCTGGTTTCTCTCTGCTACCAGATCCTGACTTCACAGGACAATTTCTACCTTAATAATTTTAATCTAAGGCACAGTATTTTCTTCTAATTACCTTCAACATTTGGTTGTTTAAGTGCTGAGATTGGTAAAGCTGTAGGTGAAGTATTATTGGATGTCTGAGTCTCCTGGAGAGCCTGGGCAATGGCACTTTCATCAGAATGATTAGATTTAAGATTAGAACCAGTTGGACTCATCATCCTTTCAAATGCCTGAGCTATAAAGAAAAAGAAATATTAAAATCTCAGATGTTTTTGAACTTTAAAGTAAGTTAAGTACTCTATTTTCCAAGTTGTTAAGGAGAAAGAAATAAATGGCTAAGCAAGAAAAAAAAGTGGTACTTAGCAAAGATAATGTCTGAATAACTAGCACAGGCTCTTGCTTTAGTTGCCTGCACCCCATCAGTGTTGCTGTTGTGGGTGCCATTCAGTGGGTTCCAACTCACAGAGATCCTACGTACAACTGAACAAAACACTGCCCCGCCCTGTATCATCCTCACAATCACTGCTATATTTGACCCCACTGAATCAGGCACATCAGTATTTTAACATTATATTTAGCATATGTTTGATATCTACTAGAGAAAATAATCTGTTTAATATGACTGATTTTGCCCTTGTACACCTAAAGCATATTTCCAACATGTTGTTGTTGTTATTTGCCGTCGAGTCGGCCCCGACTCATAGCGACCCCTCCTTGGGTTTCCAAGGCAGTATCACTACGGAAGTAGGAATGCCCAACCTTCCTTCCAACATAGTTCAGAGTTATTCCTTTAAGACACAAATCATATCACATTATCCTCCACTTAAAATTCTTTGGAGGCTTCCCAACTGGAGTAAAAAATTGATGTTATTACAGTGACTCACAAACTCATTCCAAACCCATTGCTGTTGAGTCCATTCCAATTCCTATGGATCCTACAAAACAGAAGAGAACTGTCCCATAGTTTCTAAGGCTGTAATCTTTATAGAAGCAGACTGCTGAATTTTTCTCCCAGGAAGTAACTGGTGGGTTCAAACCACAGACCTTTCAGTTAGGAATACAGCACTTTAATCACTGTGCCATCAAGGCCTAAATAATCTGCATTCCCTACTCTCACCACCTTCCTGGTTACCTGTTTGACTTCATCTCTAATTATAATTCCATTTGCTCACTATGATCTAGACACCCAGGCCTCCTTGTCCTAGAACAAGTCAAGAACTCACCTAGCTTAGGGTCTTTTGCTTTTGTTGTTTCCTCTGCCTAAAACATTCTTCCCAAGATACTCATGTAACTCTAATCTCACATTTGTTCAAGTCTATGCTCACATGTCATATTATCATAAAACCTTATCCTAACTACTTTATAAAAAATACTACCTCTCTTTTCACCAATCTGTTACTATCTTCTCTTACATTGTTCTGTTTTCATTTAGGGTATAATCACCATCAGAGATTCTCTTTGCTCACTGTTTTATCTTCCCCCTATGTTCAAAACCTCCATGAGAACAGGGAGTCTATTTTATTCTCAGCTGGTGCTCCAGAACCTAGAACAGTGCCTGAATACTGCTGAATGAGTTTTCATCTAAACAAAATGAAACAGAACAGGTAGCTTCATCAGTTCTCCAAACTGATCTGTTATAAATGCTGCCATTACTAGAATAGTGCTCAATGAGAGCATTCTAACGAAATGGCTCCCACTAACCAAATGAAATCTAACCATCTTACTTTGGATTTGAAAGGAGATTTCCAACTTGCCCCAAATCTACCTACTGGCACTCCTGTGGGTGTTTTCTTGAAACTCATGGTTTCAGCACAACTTCCTTACTATCTCCAATCTTTATTCAAACTATCTCTTTCTTCCAATCTTTTGTGGAAGGTATCTCACAAACCCTGGGCCATCTATTATTACGTCTTATTAATAAGACATTTTTCCTACACTATTCTAAACCCTGAAGTTGATAGTAAAATAACCTTTATTTCCTTGCGGTATATAAACTAATAATAAATAAAACAATCAATGAAATCTCATGTTATATCAAAATAGAATATATAAAACAGATAACTAAATAAATTTGTTTCCCAACATTATCCCTGATCAATCAATGCTTGATTTCAGTATCCTTCAGTGATTATATCTTCACTCTTCAGGCCTGACAGTCAGTATATTCCTCAATGATCATCCCTAAATACAACCTGTCAACTGAAATAATGCTTTAAATTTTTCATGGCTGTTTTTTTTTTTTTTTTTTAAGTGGGAGAGATAATTACATAGGAGTTTGCTCTAATATTTCTAAATTCTAGCAGGCTGCCTTGGACAACAGTACCAGTAGCTGTCTTTTGGGCTACTGAAACACCAAAAGAAAAAACAGAACAGTAAGCACTTAAACTAACCTCATCGTAAACAATAATGGTAATAAAGAAATATAGAAAGGTTTATATTCTATAATCTTTCAGAGCAGAGGTCAACAGCAGGGAGGAAGGCAGCTTACCTCAGGCTAACAGACTCACATCAGAGCTTTTTGGAGAATTGCTGAAAAAATTTATCTTCATTCAAAAGAGAAAAACAAATTATTATCAGGTATTTATTCTCCTGGCTAACAGGAAGCAGTGCCCGAGCTAGTGCACAGGTCTGGTTTTAAAAAGTCCCAAGTAATTTTTGCTGGGAATAAACTGTCAACAAAACTTAGAAAATGCCAAGAAGCATTCCAAAGAACAAACATGTAATTTTTGAGGGAGAGGGGAAAGAGATGCACATATAACACAAAAACTGTGAGAACTCAAAATAAGACCACCAATACAACTGCTGATCATGGCAGCTAGCTAGGGAGCCAGAGAAACAATGGAAACATACACACATAAAATTCTCAAGTTTCAGAAGGAAAAAAATACATGAGGTAAAAATATGCAAATAATGTGGCAGTCCTGTGAACTTATCTATAAAATCATAAATATTTTCCCCCGACCTTTTATTCTTATTTTAGCTTGTAACTTACTTAGGCTGTTATTTCTAAAGGGTGCAAACTATGACCTTGTCTTATGCTATTAATATATAATAATGAATACTATTTATTGGTAGGTATTCTATTAATGTTTAGAATATGCTGATGAGAATGACAGTGATGATGACAAAAATAAATAGGCAGGTGAAATGTAGCATTTAGGGACTTGGTACCTGTTAAAAGTTAATGAACTGCCACTCCAGAAACTGAATGCTTCCTTTCCAGACTGGTAGTATTAATTGTGAGAGTGGAACAAAAAGAAGAGAAACCAAGGCTTGGGATGTCCCACCTAAGCCAGATAAGTCAACACTAGGTCCTTGCCTTAAGAAAATAAAGAAGTTTATCTTTGTCACAATTCAATTGTTTTTAAGATATATTCAATTACTAGAAGAAAATATGTCAAGTTAACACTCACCTTTACTAATAGTCTCAAAGCAGACTACACATACTCTTGCTTCCTTTTCTAGGTACTGCAGTTTACATTTCCTATTGCAACAGACACCACAAAATACCTGTTAGGAAAAAAAAAAAGGTTTTTGTTTTAAACAAACTTATACCTACTGAAGGTAGGGAAGGGGAAGAGACCCAAACCCTAATTAAAAACCACTTTATTATACAAATCATTTTTCTAATTACCATAATTTTGGGTAGTTTTTATTTTACTTTATTACTTAAATAAGGTTTCTGCAATTTAGTATCATATTTCTGACAAGGAGAATTCCTCTAATTCATTTCTATGTTGATCAGAAAGGGGAACAGACTTTTTTAAGTTCATAATTAAAAAATTTTCTGTGATTCTTTATTTAGAAGTTTAAATTGGATTTTAGTGTTTCTGAAAGAACACAGTTGACCTAAAACAAACGTATTTAAATGACTAAAAAATACAATATTATTCCCACAGCTATCCCTAGAATTCAGAGGGTTAGCTCAGTCAGAGTACAAATGAGCTTCAGCATTCCTCTGCAGGTCTAGTCACTCTTCAGTGTTTCCCTAGGCACCAACCACAACACTAACTACCAACCATGACCTTAAAAATATGTATTAGGGAACAAAGGGGACTGAGTTTGGAACATCCAATGTGTCAGTGACAGAGAATTATGGACACGCTTTTAGACCGTATAAAAATTAGTAATTAAATAAAACAAAACAAACAAAAAAACAACTCACTGCCATCAAGCAGAATCCTACTTAAAGCAACCCCTATGGGAGAGAACAGAATTGCCTGATGGGGTTTTCAAGGCTGTAAATCTTTTCAGAAGCAGACTACCTCATCTTTGTCCCACAGAGTGGCTGGTGGGATTGAACTGCCAACCTTCTGGTTTACAGGAATGCCTTAATAACTGTACCAGAGCTCCACAATAATTAGTGTTTGTCATTTCCCAGCATGTAGTACCCATGACACTGTGATTATTTATTCACCTATCAAACAATTAGTAAAATGACAATGTTTTCTATATTACCACTGGTAGGCAGAAAACCACTGACCTTAAACTAATGGACTCTTTTAATCATCTTGTTAATCAGCGTTTTCTGTCATATCAGATTTCATTAAAATGTTCTCAAAGTACAAAAAGATGTAAAGATTTTCGTAACTTACTTTCCCACATGCTCTGCAGTGGTGTCGTCGTTTTGTAAAAGTAAATTTGACTTGGCAGTTCATACAGTTTGGAGCTTCTGAATCAGGAACCCAAGGAGGCTGTTTCTGTCCCAAAACCAAGCCTTCTTTGCAAGGTTTTTCAGGTAAAGATTCTTCGTTTGCAGGTACAAAATTGGATCCAGTTTCAAAATTACTTTCTATATCAATGTAATTAGAGTTGAAGCTAACCTGAGGATCAGTTGCGGACTCTGTAACATCAGTGGTTGGGGCAATGGCATCTGCTACAGTGGACTCACTTTCGGACATATTTGGATCATCCAGTTTATTCAATTCCTTTGAAGTCCTTTCTTTGGATGGAAAATTAAACAATTGCTTAGGCCTGGCCCCTCCTATATGAACAGACTGACAACTAATATCAGAAGTTGATAACTCATTTGTAATCTCAGACTTACTGCTAGATAATCCTTGTTCAGTGGGAACTGTGCTTTTTTCCCCTAAAGAAAGGCCATCATTTTCTGCTGTATTTTGTTTCTCGATTGAAATATTAATACCTGGACTTCCCCCAGTAGCTCCTCCTTCAGCACTGAAATAGATATTACTGATGTTTTCATCATCTAGGCCTTTCACAGCCACCTGATTCATTTGAGATTTGGGGTCAATTACATTTTCTTCAAAAGACTTTGTGTTAGTAGTCTGAAGATACTGGTTGGTCAGAAAGGCATCAAGTTCAGCATCACTAATTAATGCGCTGCTTTTTATGCCTTCATCAATATTAAAGTAATCTAGGTCTTGCCCATTGGTATCATTGCTTGAAAAAGTGAAGCCTTCACAATAATTAGGAAACTCTAGGGCACTAGCACCAGAAAGCTCCACTGCAGATTCTGTAGCTGTGGAACTGCTGTTATCAGGGTAATTCAAAGATTCTACTGTGGTTACTGTTTGGTCAAGATCTACTCGTCCATCTCCTACTTTTTCAGTTAATGGCTGATGAACTATGTTTTTACATTTTTCCTGTTTTAAAAGATCAGTCTCCTTAAATGGTTCCCCACCTAGAATAACATTCTTTTGCATGTCTTCATGCACAATTACCACATCTTCTATGTTATCTTTATGCTCACTGTGAGGTAAACAATAACCATGTGCTTTACTTTCAATTAATGATCCACACAAAGATCCAGATACTGGAAGACAGGACAGTGAGTACTGTATATCTTCACTTGAAACATGTAAAGTTGAAGAGGAATCTTGAAGTACATCATTATCTTTAATGCCTAAATTTCTTGAGTTTTCTTTTACAGATTGTTTTATAAATAATGTAGTGTTATCTTCCTGAAAGGAAAAGTCAGGTAATCTGAAATTTTCATCTCCTGAATTAGAATCATTTAAACATAAACTTTCATTTTTTTGCATATCACAAGGCAAAACACCTGTGCTGTCTCCTTTTAAACATTTGGTGGCAGCTGCGACTGCTACATCCACCTCCTCTTTTACCGAACAGCTATCAACTTTTAATGATTCACAAGGCTGGTTCTTGTGTTGTAGGTTGTCTTTGGCATCAAACATTTTGGAACTTTGTTGAGTTAAATCAGATGGTATGTTAAAATCAATAGGTTCTAGCTGGTCAGATATCTCTTTATTCTTTAAATTTTCTGTTCCGCTGAAATTACATGAATCTGAAAGTGTTGTCTCTATGTTTATACTCGATTCTTTGGTTCCACACATTTCTCTATTTTGTAATTCAGAGTTGACATCATTCTGTTCCTCTGTGACAGTATCACCACCATGATCTTGTGAAGAAATACAGAAAGTACCTGACAGTAAAGATAAATCCAATCCAATCAAAGAATCTGCACTAGACTTAAAATCATCTGGCAATAATTTAATATCTTCTTCACTATTAGTTGCATGAACTAGGTTACCCATGTCACTTATCAGATCACAGACAGGTTTACTACATCGCCCCATATATAAAGGCTTGATTTCATCTGAAGTACCACTATCCACAGAAGAAAGAAGATCAAGTCCTGCTACATTTTTTTCATTTTCATTTTGTATAGAAGTTAGTCCCTCAAGTCTTTTTTCACTCAGGGCAATCTGATCTGCCTCACAGCATGTTTCTGCTGCTGTATAACTATTAATGCATTGCTGATCCTTTGGTAGCAGTGAAGTTAGCTGTGAGGAAGCCAACTCTGAAGAAACTGAGCAGTGATTAGAATCATACTCATTCTGTGCATCCTGGAGATAATCTTGTTCATCTGATTAAAAGAGAGACACAGCATTATTCAAGACAGCAAAACAAAAGAAAAATTAATATGAAGATGTTACGTTTTCTAAGACTTCTAAACTAGATAAACTCCTCCTTCTTTAGCCCATAAATATATTGTCCTTTTGTACATTAGTGATAACCTCCAAAACTAATTTTATTTGGCTTTAAGGTACTTCCCGGTTTTTATTTTAGAATGTAGCTATCACAAAGTGGTAGGAATTGTACTCAATAGCCCAGCTGCATTATAAAAACCAGACTAAGGAACTGCAGATAAACAATCTACTTTCCTTGTTCACCCCTGTTGGATCCTAGTCCTCATGCTAACATGAGGAAAATACCATCTCTTAATAGTAATGAAACACCAGTTTACACAGAGCTTTCAAGCTGCTTTTAGCTTGTTCATATGTTGGTTTTAAAGACCTTTCTTATATCTAAATTTGTATTTGGAGAGAAACTTCTAGTTTCCTATTTATTTTTCTGGGTGTTGTTTCCAGTCAGTATAATAAACTACCATGCTATAATGAAAATAAGTAAACTTTTTATAGAAAATAACAATGTGGTCAATACTGAAAACAAATTTTGCTATGAGTAATCCATACCTGAGATAACTGAATTACAGACTTTTAAAAAAATTCCATCAGTGGGAAAAATGAAAAACTAACAAACCTGGGTTCTGTTCAAAATCATCAAGGAGTTTGTCCAAGTCACTGACTGCTGCTTTAAAATAACTGTCCATCCTACCCGTAGATTTATTCAGAATTTGACTCTTGTATGCCTAGAAAATAAAAAGTATGATATTTCACTTAATTCTTTAACATATAAATATTATAAATCTACTATATGACAAGAAATATAGTCAGGGATGAGAGAATAATAAAATTAAAAGTTTTGTTTAAATGCATCTACAATTTCCTTGGTGAAACTGCCTGTGTATCCACACAAAAATGCCATGCAAAATAACTCTAATATAACAACTGCCTATATAAACTCAGAAAAGTTAAAACACATCTAAATAATTTATGGGTCAAAGAAGAATTAATAATGGAAAGCTAAAAATACTTATAAATACTACATATAAAATATACTACATAAAATGAAACATTACACATAAAAACGTGTGGCATTACACAAAACTCGTACTTCAAGGGATACTAAAAGCCTCAGTGAAAACTACTAAATCACAAAGATAAAGCAGCCAGAAAGAAAAGGACACCTTAAAAGGAACAACTATCCTAGGAACAGACTTAAAAAAGCAACAATGGAAACCAGAAAACAAAGAAACAATATATTCAAAGAACTGAGAGAAGACAGCAATATATACCCAGCAAAAACAAATTTTCAAGAACTAGAGTGGAAAAACAGAAATGTTCAGATAAACAAACACAGAGTTTATTCACGCAAAGCATCTAAGAAAACTTCTAAAGAGTATACTGCAAAAGAAAATGATCCCAAAGAAATACATGAGGGAAAGATCACATCAATAAAAGCAACATGTAGATAAATCTAAATAAACATTATTTAGGATGACAAATATTTTATTAGTCCATTATTGTAAAAAGTCAAGGAAAGGTTTATATATGGAAGGAAATTTTCTTTGCTGGTTACCACGGTTGGGAGGGGAGCGGAGGGAACACTGCTAGATAGGTAGAGATAAGTATTGATTTGGGTGAAGAGAAGGGCAATGAACCAAATGTGAGTGATCAACACAGGAGCACTGAAGAAGAGGAAGACAGAGAGAGGTACATAGGAGATACAGACAACAAAAATGAACCCTTTCGGACATATAGTACTGTGCTGTCAGTAATGGCAAACACTGATGGCAAACAATGACCTACGGGTGGATGGATGGGTGGCCAGGTTGAACTATTAGGTATGTCTATGCAGGGGGGAGTGTGCCCATGACCATGTATAAGGTTGGCAGACAAGGTTTCTACAAGTGTTTGGTATGTTCTGTAAGAATTCCCAGGTATGTAGTAGAGCTGACAAGGGACAAGGATGTAATAACTTCTTGGCACAGCCAGCTACCCAGAGGGAGCAAGTAGTTGGACGTGTGGCCTCAGGACCATGGTCGCAGGGGACATCAAGCTCAATTGGCATAATATACTAGACAAAAACATTGTTCCACACCCTACTCTGGTAAGTAGCAAATGGGATCTTAAAAGCTTGCAAGTGGCCATCTATATTTAATGATGGGTCTCTCTTCGTCCAGCGCAAAGAAGAACAAAGAAAACCAAAGACTCATGGAAACAATTAGTCCAAGCAACTAATACACCATAATACAATGAGACCCATATGACCATGAGACCAGAAGAACTAGATGGTGCCTGGCTACCACTGTCAACTACTCAGAGGGGGCTCTATGTAGGAGATCCTGGATAGAATGGGAGAACATTGTGGAACAAAACTCAAAATCATAAAAATAATAAAAAGGACCAGGTTTGCTGGTCTGATAGAGCCTGGTGGAACCCCTGAGGCTATGGCTCCTAGCTGCCCTTCAAGTCTGGAACTGAACTCACTCATGTGGCTTCCAGCCAAACAAAGACAGGCATATGAGCTGAACATTTACATTAGGTAGCTACACTCCTTGGAGAGATCAATCATAGGAAAACAGAAGGCCTGTGTGTGCACAGGGAGACAGCTCAAGGGTGAGGGGCAGGAATGCATGGGAGGGAAAGACACAGAGAAGAGGTAACTATCAGGAAGAAGTGTGAGGGGAGCTGTTACCTTGTGGGAAATTGCAGTCAATGTCATGAGACAAAGTGTATGTGAACTGCTGAATGGAGAATGAATTTGCCCTGTAAACTTTCACCCAAATCACAGCAAAATTTTTTTAAAAATCTAAATAGACATTAATAATAATAATATCACATTTGTGAGTTTAAGAAAGATATGAGTAAAAGAGACTTCAAGAGTATGTAAAATGGTAGAAGAGTGATAGATAGCAAAAGTCTTTTAAGAAGTTACTAAAACTCATTCCTTTACTAGGTATATATCCTAAAGAAGTGAGAGCCATGACAAGAACAGACATATGCACACCCATGTTCATCACGGCACTATTTACAATAGCCAAAAGATGGAAACAACCTAGGTGCCCATCAATTGAGGAATGGATAACCAAATTTTGGTACATACACACAATGGAATACTACACAACCTTAAACAATAACCTAGAATCTGCAAAACACCTCATAACTTGGATGAACTTGGAGGACATTATGCTGAGTGAAATAAGTCAATCACAGAAGGACAAATATTGTATTAGTCCATTATTGTAAAAATCAAGGAAAGGTTTATCTATGGAAGGAAATTTTCTTTGTTGGTTACCAGGGGTGGGAGGGGAGGGGAGGGGAGGGGAGAGAACACCGTTAGGTAGGGATAAGTATTGATTTGGGTGAAGAGAAGGGCAATGTACCAAATGTGAGTGATCAACATGGTGGCATTGACAAAGAGGAAGACATAGAGCGGTACATATGAGGTACAGACAACAAAGATGAACCCTGTTGCAAATACAGTACTACATTGTCAGTGAAGGCAACATGGGTATACGGGTGGATACATGGGTGGACAGGATGAACTATTATGTATGTCTATGAAGTGGGGAGTGTACCCAAGACCATGTATAGGATTGGCAGACAATGGTCTCATAAGTGTATTTGTATGATCTGAATTCCCAGGTGTGTAGTAGAGCTGGCAAAGGGCAAGGCTGTATTCACTCCTTGGTCACAGCCAGCTACCCAGAGTGACCAAGAAGTTGAACCTGTGGGCTTGGGACCATAGTCACAGGGGACAGCAAGCTCAACTGGCGTAACATAGTACACAAAACATTGTTCCACCTCCTACTTTGGCGAGTAGCGACTGGGATCTTAAAAGACTGCAAGCAGCCATCTAGATGCAACGATGGGTCTCTCCTTGTCTAATATGAACAAGAATGAAGGAAACCAAAGATTCATGGAAAGAATTAGTCCTAGCGACTGGTACACCATCCAATCTGCAGCCTATACGATTATGAGACCAGAAGAACTAGATGGTGCCCAGCTACCAATGTCAACCACTTGGAGGGGGATCTATGTAGGAGACTCTGGAGAGAAAGGGAGAACAATGTGGAACAAAACTCAAAAGCATTTGGATAAAAAAAAGGGGGGGGGGAGGACCAGGTTTGCTGGTCTCATAGAGCCTGGTGGAACTACTGAGACTATGCCCCCTAGCTGCCCTTCAGGTCTAGAATTGAACCCACACCTGTGGCTTCCAGCCAAGCAAAAGACAGGCATAGGAGCTGAACATTTACTTGAGGTAAACACACTCCTTAGGGAGAACAATCATGGGAGAAAGAAGGGCTGTTTATGCACAGGGAGACAGCTCAGGGGGCAGGGGTGCATGGAGGAATGGACACAGGGAAGAGGTGACTGTTGAGAGGAAGTGGGAGGGGAGCTGTTGCATTGTGGTGAATTGTGGTCAACGTTATGAGGCAAAGTGCATGTGAACTGCTGTATGGAAAGAAAATTTGCTGTGTACATTTTCACCCAAATCACAGCAAAAAAACAGAAAAAACAAACAAAAAAACACAGCTACTAAAGCTAATAAATGAATTTAGCAAAGTTGTGAGGTACAAGGCCAAGAAACAAAAATCAGTCAGCAATGAGCACTGTGAAAAGTAAAGTAAGAAAACAATTCCATTTACAACAGCATTTAAAGAATAAAATTCCAAGGAATAAATTTAACCAGGGAGGGGAGAATAAAGGACTTATACACTAAAAACTATAAAACATTACTGAAAGAAATTAAAGAAAATCTAAGTAAACAGAAAAATATTCCATGTTCATGAAATGGAAGACTTCCTGTTGTTAAGATGTCAATACTACCCCATGCAATCTATAGATCCTATTCAATTCCTATCAAATTCCAAGAGCGTTTTTGGCAGAAAAGAAAAAGCCAATCCTCAAATTCATGTGGAATTGAAAAGGGACCTAAATGATCAAAGCCATCTTGAAAAACAACAAAGTATGAGGACTCATGTAAACATACTATAACCTGTTGCCATCGAGTCATCCCAACTTAGGGCAATGCCATGTGTTATAGAACAGAACTACTCTATAAGGTTTTCGTGGCTATAATCTTTATGGAAGCAAATTGACTGCCAGGTCTTTCTTCTATGATGCTGCTGGGTACCAACCTTTAGGTTAGTTATTGTTGCTGTTGTTATGTGCTGTCGAGTTGGACCCAACTCATAATGACCCCTCCTTGGGTTTCCAAGGCAGTATCACTACGGAAATAGACTGCCCAACCTTCGTGCCACCCAGGGATCTCAAAACAGATTGGTATTAATATAATGGCAGACACACATGCCAAAGGAATAGAACTGACAGTCCAGAAATAAACCCATACATCTATAGCCAACTGATTTTCAACAAGAGTGCTAAGTCCATTCAATGGAGCAAGAACAGTTGCTTTAAAAAATGGTGCTGCTTGTGGTACTGGTATAACAACAGAGAGACAGACCAATGGAACAGAATCGAAAACTCAGAAATAGACCCATCTATGGACAGCTCATCTTTGACAGAGGCCCCAAACCCATTAAATGGGGGAGAGAGAGCCTCTTTAACAAATGGTGTTGGCAAAACTGCATATCCATTTGTAGAAAAATGAAACAAGACCCCTATCTCACCCCATACAAAAACAAACTCAAGTTGGATCAAAAACTTAAAATGTAGGACTTCTGGTAAGATGGAGGAATAGGGAGAAAAGCTACACAGATCCTCTTCGACAAAGAAACGAGAA